AGTGAAAGATCTCGTTTATTGTTGTGTAAAAAAAAATATATATATATATGTAGTACAATAGCTATGGTAATTGTTTAAAGTTAACTTAATGTTTACAGCGGCAAGACTTCTGGAAGGAAAATTGGATTTGGTGAGCGGTAGCATAGGTGCTGGGATGGATTATATGGAAAGCCCAGTGAGTGACGGCACAATTGAGGAGAACTTTGAGGAAGCTTTGGTAGATGCTCCAGTTATTGAATCTGGTGTGTGACCTTTTACCTTCTGTTAGTAGCCAGTAAATGTCATGGCATTCTCGGGGCATAGCAGGTGAATTATGTGTAGAACATTGTATAGCTTGTTTTTACATTGCATGGCGTAAGGATGAAAAAGGAAAGGGAATGTGACAGTTGTTTTGCTTTCTTTTTAATCCATTTTGCAACAATAACATTATGTACAATCGTAACATTTGAAGTTAATAAATCTTTTGACGCGTGGAATATACTTTTTTTTTTCTAATAAAACAAGATTGCTCCGAGGATTAAAATTGTTCTTGCTAAATAAAATTTTTAGTTGATATAAATTGTTGCGAGAACACGCTTATGAAATGAACAACCTGATGTCACGACAAATCTGTCTGTTTTAACGAATAGCGGACGATCTGGCTGCTTTAGATGGAGAGCTCGCCGATGAGGAAGATTATCTTGACATATCCAGACATGGTATCGTAGAGGTAGTCGGCGATGATAGTGCCGGTCGTAAAATAATTGTTGTGTCAGCTTGCAAATTGCCCCCTATTGGAAAAGAGACCTTTAATCACGCTAAACTCCTCAGGTGAGTTTGCGATATATCTATGTTATAAAAATGACACACGAGGCATTTATTCCATTGCAAACAATGTGTCTTGCAATTGCCTGTAAATTATTTAAAAATCGCGAGTCATCCTACATCATTTCCAACAGTTGTATGTGCCAAGTTTTTATCTATTTTCTCGGTACTAGCTTTCCATTTTTTTTTTTTAAATAGAATAAAACAAAATAAACTTCTTTCCTATAGGTATCTTACTCATACTTTGGATATGTTCGTGGAACAAGATTATAGTCTCGTCTACTTTCATTATGGCCTTACGTCGAAAAATAAGCCACCCTTATCTTGGTTGTGGCAAGCGTATAAGGCGTTTGATAGAAAATATAAGAAGAATCTCAAAGCTCTGTATCTAGTGCATCCTACTAATTTTATTAGGATTGTGTGGCAAATATTTAAACCAGCTATTAGGTATATGTGAAACCTTTTCTTTTCTAAATGAAAGAGTTGAATATTCTTTTCTCGAGTACTTACATATATATTGCGTAATTTGTTACATTGATTTTTATAGTGTAAAATTCGGACGGAAAATGATGTATGTTAATTATCTGGAGGAATTAGCACAATACGTTAACCTGGATCAACTAATTATACCACCTCAAGTGATAGAGTATGCAATTTAGTTATGCTATTATGCAAAATAGTATTTAAAAAAAATAAAATCTTGTCAAATCAAATTGCACGCAGATGTACTTCACACGGGACGGTTTTTTCAGACACAATGAACAGCTGATGATAAAAAATAAGAAAAATTTGCCGGCGAGTCCACCACAAAGCGCAGTAGTCACACCAGTTGGCACGACTCAGTTCGGTGCTAGTCTGCAATTCATAAAAGAAAATAATAATGGCGATTCGATACCACCGATTCTAAGACAGTGTGTAGAATTTCTCGATACACCTGATGGTACGATATTTCAACAAAAATAATCAGCTTTGTCTTGTTATATGCCAATTGATAATTGTTTTATCGTTGTTTCAGCTCTAGAGACAGAAGGGATATTCAGAAGATCGGCTAACGTAGCGGTAATCAAAGAACTTCAGAATCGCTGTAATCAAGGTTTACCTATTGATTTCCAAGGAGACCCGCATATCGCCGCGGTTCTACTTAAGACTTTTCTCCGTGAGCTAGACGAGCCTCTTATGACTTACGAATTGTACGACGAAATCACACAATTCCAAAGTGAGCATATATATTATATTCCTTCCTTTTCTTGTTTTTCCAAGTATTACAGCGACATAAAGTATGTATTTCTTTAAATTTTTTTCTTTTTTTTACTGTAGTATTATCAAAAGACGAACGTCCACGTAAAGTTAAGATATTAATATTGGAGAAACTCCCTGAAGACAACTATCAAGTTCTTAAATACATCGTACAATTTTTATCGAGGGTACGTAACCAATATTCGCAGTCCCGATTTCCTACGAAATGAAAAATCGATCTTTACGTTCATCTGTATCTTTCTTGCTATTGATAGGTAATGGACCGATGCGACTTGAACAAGATGACTTCTGGTAATCTCGCGGTCGTATTTGGACCGAATTTAGTTAGAGCACCGCCAGCGCGTGGAATGTCCCTCTCTGCGATAGGCCCCATCAATCAATTTATAGACTTTTTATTCACCTATCAAGATAAGATATTTATTATTTAAAAGCGACAGCACGGAAGGCCTAATTGTAACATTCAACTAACTACACGTCCACATTTTCATTTGCCGAAATATTTTTATATTCTACGTGATAGAGAAAGAGAGGAGGATAGAAGGAAACACTCAATTGTTCATTTACACAATTGTGATTTTGCACAAGATTTTTTAATACGAATAAGTATAATAATTTTCGGACGAAAGAATAAAACGTTCGAATTGATGCCAGCTGTGCGATATTGGAACACCAGCTCCAAGAGACACGTCTGTATATTTAGAGAAAAATTATGACCAAATACCAAAGATACATGAGAACGTTACGCAGTGAATATAATATGTAAGATTAGCTAGAAATAATGTTTATCTATTTAATAACGCTTAAGAAAATATATAATATATTCGAGGATGAAAAAAAAAATATATCGAGCAGGATGCCTCCGTCGGGATATCGAGAAATAAACCGTAATTTATCTCGATTTTTATTTAAATTTTTTAAAAATCGCTTAATATTACTAAAACTTTCAAACAACGAATTAATTTCTTTTAGCACATTATATAAATCACACACGCATTTCATGTATAATTTTTAAGATTTTAGTTATTTTTATCTTGTTATTTTCTTTATTCAATTAAAAAGTTTAAATTAAATTAATAATTGTTATCAAATAGATTATAATGTTCGTTTTAATGGATTCATTAAAATGAAAATTATAATTTGCATAATAATATCGTCCTCTATTATTTCTTTCCATTAAAATCGAAATTGTTAAAGTTGTTCGATCGTATGTGTTGTATTAATCATGTTAATTAAAGGTCTTGTAGAAACGAAATTTTCATAAAATGTTTTGATATACATTTTAAATCTACAATAGGAAAATTGCAACAAATCGTTTTAATATTTGGCATCCTTTGCATTTCTTGCAGAGAGTTTATACATATTACAAAAATTCATGATTTAATAATAATTGTGGTCTAACGAATATAGTATATGTGATACTGTATTTAAGTAAACTCGAAAAGAGACGAGATAGATGTAATAAGAAAGATTTGTGCGCGCGCGCGAGTAAATTCTAGTGATTTCATAATAGTTTTTTAATTATGATCTCAAAACAATCATCTTGTTATTAGTTTCACTTGATGTCATAACGAGAACTAAAAGAAATTAAAGAGAGAAAGAGAATAAAAAAAGGGAAAAATTTAACATGTATTAAATGCCAAGTGTTGTATTATCTATAAAGACTTGGTAAGTTTGTCCGTCGTCAAGTGTAAGAATACGAGACTTGGTAATTTTTCGCGTAGCAAACCATAGATTTGTATATCCCCTCAAATAGTCCTGCCATTATAGGTAACTGGGATAAAGTATGAGCTTGGCAATCTCAATCCGCTCTCTATCATTAAAAAAAAAGACTAACCCAGACCTATATAGAACTGATGTGACTCGATTGCATTCCTCGTTGTTGTCAATAGAACGTGTAATAAAGCGTGTTTATTTATAGGTATTCAGTTTTGTATATAATTCATAAGCAAAACTTAACTTTCGTGACGATGGGGAATCGAGGTATAAATGTTAAATGAAGCGTTTCTCTGTAACGTTATTACAAGAGTTACCATTTTATGTTCATAAAATAACTTACAGTAACAATAATTTAAATAACAACTCTCTTGTATCACTAATTTATATAACTTGAGATGAATAAACATATTGCGTGTTACTTAATATACGATTCAAATCAATACAATAAAATTATCGGCACTTAATATGTACAATAACCCAAACTATCATTTTGGATAAAAGCCGGATGTCTTCTTCTGTTCTCCCTTGAAAATGCCCTCGTCTCGCGACAAGACCGCGCTGTCTAATGATTAGCTAATGTTTAGTTAATCAGCTTGTAGCAATTTGTGGATTGCAAAGATTACATGTACTTATATGGAAAGACGGCATTGGAAAAACGGGATGATGATTCGGACGAAGCATTTACCTTTTTGCCTTTTACAAAATTTTTACGACTACACTGAGATTGAGAAACTCGAAACATGACAAGATCAATATTTCAGACGTTGTTTCTTCTTCATTATAAACGCGTGATTTAAGTAATAGAGAGAAACACATTGCACTCGTGCAATCATATATATTTATGAAAAAAGAAATAGCATCTGGAATAACGATTCATTGGAAAGAAGTGACATTGCTTATACATTGCTTCACGACTGCTTTGTATGAAAAATTACTTAAAAAGATAGGTCTCATCGAGAGGCAAATCTGTCTGGAAAAATGAGGTTTATCCCACGATGTTCGCAAACGACAATGAAAGGCCGCAGCCATATAATGGGTGCAAATCTAAAGTCTTTATCGAAAATTTTAACAATTCATTTCTCTTCAACAAAATGGTATAATACGGAATCTGCCTCGGAAAAATTTATGGTCACAAAGTCACACAATAACTTGTACTAATTTACTTCCTATGGTAAAAGATTGGGACATCCATTACATTCACCCTGCACACACACACACACACACACGTGCGCGCGCACGCACGCGCACGCACGCACACACACACACACAAGTATGCAAATATCTTTGCTATCCAAGAATTACCGCAGCTAAAAATATACATATATGTATATAGGCATACATGTGTACACTCATACATACATAACACCCTTGTCCTTGTGTATATACAAGATGAAGCATTTGTAATATGACAAACTACCATTTACAAATAGTAATTTGTCACATCTGAGATGCGCCATCCTGTACATAGTTAGTAAATTACCGAAATTAGACCTTGTATTTGAAATTGAACGTAAATTGATTTTAAAGGTTTACGAAAAGCCACCATTATCACCGCCACCGCCACTGCCACTGCCACCACTACCACCACCACCACAGCAGGAACTTCTACTCGGTTGAATGTGTTCTGCCTCGTCCTCGACCATGACGACGTTGCGACGCGTACTATTGGTCCTTGTAAGCGTGGATTTTTGCTCAGCCTCGTCTACACGTTGCATCATGCGGTGCGTCAAGTCTAGAAACATCTCTTCAATGTTCTGGTTTAACTTGGCTGATGTATGAAAATGCATGGCTCCCACCTGTTTGGCATACCTGAGGAAAGATTTATTGGTGATCATGTGCTATCTTCACCTGATAATAATGCCATGTAAAAGAGGAGATTCGTCAAACTTACTCTTCAGCTTCCTCTGTGGCAACGTTCCTGTCCTTCTCCAGGTCCACTTTATTACCTGCTATCACTAAGCAAATTTCGCTACCTAACATCTTCTTAAGCTCCTTCACCCAGTTTTTTACCTGACAATATACACAAAAAGTTGTTCAATTATATCAATGATACAAAAGTACTTTGTACGATAGATATTTATAGTTGTACCTTTTGGAAGGTATCCTCATCCGTAATGTCATACACGAGAATGGCACCATTGGACATTCTGTAATAAATTGGTCCTAATGCGTGAAACTTCTCTTGCCCGGCGGTGTCCCATATCGCCAAGTTGACTCTTTTTCCATTAATATTCAATTTTTTATTCAGGAACGACGCCTGAAACATATATAATATATGAAGCAAACGCATTGAGATGCCTTTCCGTGAGCGCTCGGCGTGGAAGAGGTTAGGGAAGAGCTAGGTTAAGGAAGAGATTGGCTTCCCCAAATCCCAATTGCAATATTATATACGCCGGAAATTACAATATTTTTCTAATCTTATTATTAGTTAGTATATACAATAAATTGCTTTCTCTCTATGCAATTTGCAGAATTCGAATAAGAAAAAAACTGCCGGAAGACTTGTGTAAGTATAGGTATATATCTTAAGGTACGCCGCAAAACACTTTCAAGAGAGACTTTTCAAAAGTAGGTACATATGTACAAATTTGAGTAGGATTAAAAAGTGAAGAGGCTGGAAAAGCAAGTTTCACGCAAACAATTACAGAAGGAAGCTACTCACCTGTAGCGTGGTGATATGCTTGTCGTTGAACTTGTCCTCAACATATCGAAGAGCGACCGAGGTCTTGCCGACACATCCCTCGCCGAGCAAAACCACTTTGAAGTTATATCCGGTGCCAACTACCGGACTGGCCATAATAATGTCCCGATAATGTCCCCGGACTCGTGCGAACCTCGGATCGGACCAGACGATAGAGGACAAGATGACTGATCACTGAGCTGATGAGCTCTCCAGTCTCACCGGTCCAAGCCAAGCCAAGCCAAGCCAAGTGAAGCCAAGGACGTCGCGGCGGGGAGGAGTCG